GTTGGGGTTCAGTGGGTTGTGCCACGAGGCACCTTCAGGAATGAGGGTTTTCCACAGAGGCACAGCAGCTTTGCCCTCTCTGTCCACACACTCCCTTTCACAGCACCCTTGGCAGTGACTGCAGCAAGATTTTGCCTTTCAGGATTTGATTCCACTTCATTTGATTCCACATCATGGAATCGTGGAATCATTTGAGTTGGAAAAGACCTTTAAGATCACCGAGCCCGACCATTTCCCCAGCACTGCCACATTCACCCCTAACCCATGTCCTCAAGTGCCACATCCACACATTTCCTGAACACTTCCAGAGGTGATGGCTCCACCAGCTCCCTGGACAGCCTGTTCCAAATCTTTACATGTCTTTCCATGACAAGTTTTTTCCTAATATCTGATCTAAACCTCCCCTGGTGCAACTCGAGACCTGAACATTCTCATTTCTCTGCAGCTCCTTCGTCTCCCTTTAATAATGAAGGTGACACCTCCCCTCCTTTAGGTGGGGTTACAGCTCTCCTGGAGCAGCAGAGAGCTGCTCCATGGAAGAGCCTGTCCTGATGATTGGATGTGTTATCAGGAGAATATTCACGGGAAAGAGGCTGGGGGGTCTCTCAGTGGGACATAAATGTGCCCAAAGCATTAATGAGCCTGGTACTACTCCAAGCTCCACTGAAGCCAGAGCAGACAGTGGGTTTTGTCTCCTTTCTACCATCTGTGCTAACTAGGATATTGGCAGGGAAGGGAATTTCTATCCCTGGAAGTGTCCAAGGCCACATTGGAGAGGACTTGGAGCAACCTGGTCTAGTGGAATGTGTCCCTGGTGGAAAGGAAGGAGCTTTAAGGTTCCTCCCAACCCAAACCAGTCTGGGATTCTGTGCTTCTAGGAGGAACATTTCTGTGAATCCCAATTCCTGGCATTGTCTCCATCAGGAGTTCCCAAAGAAGGAACCACACCAAGGCAGGGCTACAGGAGACTGTCTTTGTTGTGACAGGAGTAGGAAAATTGTTCTTCTCCTGCAGTTTTTGTGACTCCACATCCTCACTAAAGGCCGATCAACACAATCACTGACAGATGAAAAGAGTTCTCTTCACGGGCATGGAATGTGCATGGAGCTGGGATCATGGCATCACAGAGTCCCAGACTGCTTTGGGTTGGGAGGGACCTTAAAGCTCATCCCATTCCACCCCTGCCATGGGCAGGGACACCTTCCACTAGCCCAGGTTGCTCCAAGCCCAACCTGCCCTTGGGCACTTCCAGGGGCAGCCACCACTGTGCCAGGGCCTCAGCACCTTCAGACTGTATTGATGTTTGTAGTAGAAATGCTTTGATGTCTAGAAGAGCTCACTGGGCAGTTTGGAATGTGTTCCCTGGCCCAAACCCACCCATCCCACGGGATGTTTCCATTCCCTCACAGCTGAAGCCCAGGGGGAGGAAGCGAGGCGGGTGCTGCAGGCCCTGCTGGGGGTCAGGAAGAAGCAGCAGCTCCCCGAGGAAAGAGCCCGAGTCCTGCACGCCCTGGCCATGCTCCACTACCTGGACCTGGATTTGGAGAAGGTGAGTTGTGGCTGGAAGGGTTGGCCAAGTGTTTTTGGGGGTCACTCCGTCTCCTGGAATGCTCGTTCCCATGGGACACCTCCCGAGCCCACGAGAGGGGGACAGAGCATGGAGCTGCCTCAGAGACCTGCACGTGGTGGCTTCAAAGGAGTGGCTTAGGTGGGACACTGGGGGGGAAATTCTTTCCTGAGGCCCTGGCACAGGGTGCCCAGAGAAGCTGTGGCTGCCCCAGCCCTGGGAACGTCCCAGGCCAGGTTGG